CTTTTGCGTGTGGATATCCAATTTTCCCCAACACCATTTATTGAAAACACTAGCCTTTCCCTATTGTGTATTCTTGGCCTATTGTCAAAGATTAGTTGTCCTTTGATACATTTAAAAATATTATTTGTTTAAAAATAAAAGAGTGGGTGGCAATTCTTTAATAATCTTACTCAATTGGGTTTTTTTGTAGATGTTGTAGAGCAGTTGGGAGAGAGAGGGGAAATGGGATGGAAGGAAGAGGGGTGGGATTGAGGCCTGTGGCACCCCCCTCATTCTCACAGGGAAGAATGGTGGGCTTCCAGTGGTGGCTTGGTTATTGCCAGGCAGGGTGCTGATGTCAAGGGGGTGTGGCAATAGCCCTCGCCCCCCACCACCCCAGCTCAGGAACCTGGAGCCCTTCTTGCTGAGGCTTGCTGGTCACCACTGGGCTGATTGCTCATGTGAGGGGGCAGGAGGATGAGGCCTTCTGCCCACCACCCTAGCTCAGGAGAGCCTGGGGCTTTTCCTGTGGTGGCTCGTTGGTCATCACTGGGGTGGTTGCTCTTGTCGGGGGGATGGGGGGTGTGGCCGAGTCCCCCATCCTTGGGACTGGTTGCAGGTGTCAGGCATGGCTCAGGCCCCCGACCCTTCCCCCTCTCTGGCTTGATAACCCAGGGGAGTTCTGGTCCTTCTAGGTGTTATAGGTGTTCTTTGGTGAAATGAGACCTTTACTAGTTATCAAATTTTGTCTCTGGTTGTGGGTGCTTTGTTTTTTCTTTCAGTTCTGTGTTGGATTATTTGCTGTTCCCACCACTTAAACTCTGCACTGAAACTAATTTGTTGTCTTTTGCTTGCTTCTAAAATGGGGGAACTTCCTGTGGGGACCAGTACTTGAGCTCTGTGGTTGAGCTAAATTGCTGTTTTGCTGCTGATTCCCTAGGGAAGGCTTTTTGTGCAGCTCAGGTTTTAGTAGTTGACTTTATGGGTACTTACGGATCTGGTGAAATCTGATGCACCTGGGTTGTATAGAAACACTGGTCTGGGCCTGAGTCTTCATCAAACTGCACCCCTTGCAATTCTATATTCCTGACCAGTCTCCTCTGAGTGCTCCTG